TTTTTTTGTATAAGTTGCATATATTATTTATAATGGTTGACACATTGAAACTCGCATGTGGTTACGCAAATTTCATACTTCGGGCGAGGTTTTTTCGAATTTGTCCGAGTTTCATATGATTCTTGGATAAGTTTTCTTTAAACTCACCCGAGTTTTATATGAATCCCAGACGTGTTTTCTTCAAACTCGTTCGAGTTTTGCCTGAATCTTGGACAAATTTGTACAAATCTCGAGCTAGATTTATGCAAATCTTAGCTGAGATTCAAGCACAATATTAATGGTCATAACCCAAATTTAAAAAAAAATTAAGGAGTTGAGATTTATGCAATATGGGCTAAAGTTTGAGATTTATATCCATTCTAATTTAGACAAATCCAAATTAATTTTAAAAAATCATTCAAGATTAAAGTTATATCTCAATCCCCGTTCGAATTGGAAGAAAATGACAAAAATCGAAATCGAAAAATAAGAGAAGAGAAATAAAATCGAAAAACAAGAGTAAAGATAAATTAAAAAAAAGTGAGAAAGGGCATAATAGTTCGAATCAAAAGTTCCGTTGCAATTACTTTTACAAAATGCGAGTGAGGAATAATTTTATATGAAAAAAATGGGAATGGGAAAACGAAGAGAAGAGAAGTTTGAAAATGGAAGACAAATAAATACAAGAGATCATTGTAATTTTATAGTTCTTTTATTGAATAAAATATTAATTTAGGTTAGAAAAATAAGTTAGGTCATTTGAGTAAAGGGAAAACTCTTTTAGGTCGACATGTGTGTTAATTTCCTACATAGATTTATTTCTGTGTAATTTTGATGGGAAATTAACCAACTTGACCTAAAAAAAAGTTTAGGTTTGCTCAAATGACCTACCATTGGAAAAAGAAAATTGACTCAACTCATCTGAAAAAGTTTCTAGTTTGCTCAAATGACATAAATTATAAAATTTGACTCAACTGGTCCAATTTTAACTTTTCTGACATTTCAGAGAGTCTGTAATTACGAATATACTCCCGTATTAATTGAACTACAACAAATCTGGCACGGAATCACGTAGATTGGTGTAATTAAAACCATGGGCGAGTTCCACTTGATTCATGGCCATGAATTTATTAAAGTACCACGAACTTATTAATTCCCCACCAAATTTTTGTACTATCATTTATTATATACCCACACATTCTCACAGATTGCAGAGAATAAAAGTATGTTTCAGTTCGTATTGTCCACAAGCACATCTTTCACGTGGTTTTGAAGAAATTTCGTACATTTTCCAACATTTTTCACATCTTGAATCCATTAAAGGAAGTCAATTTTTCATCTTTGACACCTTGAACGAGGTTAGTTTTTTATTGGTTCATAATATTGTTTTCGATTCATCCAAAATATGATGTATGTAGTTGGAGTAAATGGAATTTCTGAATTTTTATCAGTATTTTTGTGGGTAAAAAAAGTTACATAAGTCAATGATTTATGGCCGTGTTTCTTCGTTTAACGGCCATGGTCAATCGTTTTATGATTAACGGTCGTGGTTTCAGGTGATTTTGGTCGTGGTTGCATACAGATAACCTGGTCGCCTCATAGCCATGGTCCATTTTGTTCGATTCGCGACCGGGGTGTTTAAGACCACGAACGTGGTTGTGTGATTTATGGTCGTGGTAACATGTTACCTCGGCCATGGTGCTTAATCGTCTGATTAATGGCCATGGTAGCATGTTCCTTCGTCGTGGTCCTTTAATGTTTGATTCATGGCCGTGGTTGCAAATTCCCTCGACCGTGGTGCTTTACCGTTTGATTAATGGTCGTGGTATTATTTTTCATGCTCATTTGATTCATGGTCGTGGTTGCAAATTCCCTCGGCCGTGGTGCTTATTGTCTGTTTCATGGTCGTTGTGACATGTTGCCTCGGTCGTGGTCCTCTAATGTTCGATTAACGACAGTGGTTGTATGTTCCCTCGGCCGTGGTCCTCTAATGTTCGATTATATGCCCCCACCCGTGTTTGTGTTTTATATTATGGTCGTGTCTGAAACAAACACAGTCGTGGTGACTTTGATTACTAAGCTACTTGTGTATTATTATTATTATCCATGCAGGATGCGTCGACTATTTGTGATCTACGGTGGCAAGTGGAACGAGGCTGGTACGGTGTACGAAGGTGGCGTCATTGGTGGGCTAGATGTTGATGAAACGATAACGTATGTCAACCTAGTAAGTGTCTTGCACATGCTTACTAGAATTGATCCTAACCAATTTCATCTTATTGTACAGTGTGTATATAGATTTGATTGTCGGTACGAAGTCTCGAACTATCTGATATTTGATGACGGCAGTTTGAGATTCTATTTGAATGGCCCTCCCGATCCGTCACAAGTACCCTTGTACGTAATCGTCTTACCTAAAGCATCATATAGTAGTGGGAGTAGGAGAGGAAATAATTTTTTCGAAACCCATACATCGTCTTCATTCCCATACTACCCAGGACAAAATGATCCATGTTTTGGCCGTTCTATTTCTATTGACTCTCCTCTGGATGATGTCGATCTCCCCTCATTTGTCCCACAAATTATACAATTGGTCGATAACGTTGTCCCATGTAACCTAGACGAYGACGAATCTCCATATTATGAACAACTGTACGAGAATGAGGTTGAGTACGAATTTCAGGGGGATGATGAGTATGATTATGACGAATATTGTACCGAGGATAGGGTTGAGGACGATGGTCGGAATGAGTATGACAATGGGGAGGAGGATGAATATCATACCGAGGATGTGCTTGACGACCATTAATGAGGATGAAGGTCAACATGTTCACGAGTCCCATACAATGAGTGGGAATGCACCTTGTCAAATAGTTGAAGAAGCTGTTTCACATCTGATGCAGAATATCATAATTGCCAATAAGTCCGACTACGTATGTGAAATTGCTGTTAAGGGTATTTTCCGTTCGAAGGAAAAACTACGCTTCAAGCTGTCTGTGTTAGCTATGAAGCCGAATTTCGAATTTAAGGTTAAAAAATCGACGAAGACATTGTACACCGTTGGATGTACCAAGCAAGGTTGCAAATGGGGTTTGCGTGTGAAGAGTATCCGAGAAGGTGACTCATTCATCATTTCAAAGTTTAATGATGTTCACAAGTGCAAACGTGACGTATTGAACCATGACCACAGACAAGCTCAGAGTTGGGTGGTTGGTCAGTTATTGAAGTCCAATCTGGAGGATGTCAGCCGTCAGTACAGACCTAAGGACATTATTAATGACATGCGAAAGAACTATGGGGTGAACATTAGATATGAAAAGGCGTGGCGTGCCAAAAATGTATGCTTGAATCTGCTTATGGGGTCACCTAAGCATTCATATACTTTGTTACGCAAATATGGTGAAGCATTGAAGGTTGTTAACGCAAGCATTATTTTTGAAGTGGAGCTGGAGGAAGATAAGTATTTTAATTACGCATTCATGGCCCTCGGTTGCTGTATTAGAGGGTTCTCCAGTTGTATCCGCCCAGTTCTGGTGATAGATGATGCACATCTCAAGGGTAAATATAGAGGTGTTATTCATATTGTTTTTTCTGTTGATGACAACAATCAAATATATCCTATTGCCTTTGGAATTGTCGATCGAGAGAGTGATCAATCCTGGACTTGGTTTCTGAACATGGTGAAGACATGTATTGGAGAGGTGGATGGGTTATTATTCGTATCTGATCAACATGTGTGCATTACGAAATCTGTTAGACAGGTCTTTCCACAAGCGGCTCATGGAATATGCATGCAGCACTTGTCTACGAACCTGAAGGACAAGTTCAAGGACGATGCCATGCAAGAAATGTTTATATTAGCAGYAAAGGCCTGCAGGAAATTAGAGTTCAGATACTATTTTTCCCAACTAGCAGGGTTTCCAAAGGTCCAGCGATACTTGGAAGGAATTGGTTTTGAAAAATGGACTTGTGCATTTCAACCGGGTTTGAGGTATGACCAAATGACATCTAATATTGCGGAGTCTATGAATGCAGTCCTTGTCCATGCACGTTATTTGCCAGTCACTACACTTCTGGAACATGCTCGTGCACTCTTACAATGCTGGTTTTAGGAGAGGCGAACCTATGCATCCAGTCGCGAAACCATTATCATTGACTACGGTGAGAATAAGATGCGTACTACAGAGAACCTATCTCGTACTCACTCCATCACACCCATTGACCATTAGGAGTTGGAGGTTAGCGATGGACTAAAAAGGGTGCGTGTGAATTTAAATGTAAGGACCTGTAGATGTAAAGAGTTTGACTACTTTCAGCTTCCTTGCTCCCACGTTATTGCAGTGGCCACCTGCATATACTCTTCAAACTCTCATTAACGCATATGYTGAACCTGTGTACCCTCTCGGCGATGAGGAGGATTGAATATTACCTAATGACTTCGTCGACCGTAAAGTGGAGCCGCCCAAATATGTTCCGCGTGTTGGTCGACGTCAAACTGTACGAATTCCATCTGCTGAGAAGACCCGTCAAGTCCACAAATGTAGTTGGCGTGGCAACATGGGTCATAATAGAAAAACATGCCGCCAACCACTTAGAACTGCAGATGGAGACATGTAAAACATTAACTGAACTATTTACCGTATTTTGGCAAATATTGTACTCTTTTCTATTATTCGACATAACCAATTGATATATTTTTCATTACTGGGCAGACTAAATCAGTTTAAATATATATAAACACCCTTGTGGTCATATTCATGATGAATAACTACCCATTTTCTGGATAATTTAACGACCGTGAGTTTATCGATCACGACCGTGGTTATGGTTCAGATAAACGAAAGTCGTGGAAATTCAGTAGCACAGCCTTTAATTTCTAAACCACGGTCATGAATTCTCAATACCACGACCTTTAATTTCGAAACCACGGCCATGAATTCGTAACACCATGGCCTTTAATTTTGAAACCACGACATGAATTCTCGAAAAAGGCCATGAATTATCTCAACCACGGCCTTCAATTCTCTCTAACACAGCCGTGAATTTCCTCATCACGACCTTGAATTATTGACACCATGGTCATGGATTATGAATATTTCAGTCGTGGGTTCTCCATTTTTTTGAATAACTTCTTACTCAAGTTGTTTGTCATCAATTGTGCCTGTTTTTATCTTAACAGTTCCAAATCCAATATATGAACAGCATTCTAGTATAGAAAAAATGCATTCAACTGTATATGATTCAAAAAATAACAACGTTGAAGTATACAAAAATAGTATTTAACTATTACAAATATACTATTCATATGATAAATTTGTTCGCCCAAAGTTGAACGGCAAATTGCTACATAAAGAATAACATCCTAGACTGTGTTAAGGTATCAAAGCTAGAGGCAGTCGCATCATACTCAAAAAATTTAACACAAAATATACCACAATTACCGTCCGTGTCCTGCTGGGGTGTTGATACGACTCTACGGATGCGCCATGGTGTGAGTGGTATATTCGACTTGTTTAGCTGAACACCGGCCCTGTAGATCAGTGCTGGGATAATAGTTATCTTCTGCTTCAGGTCTTCTTCCAACTTAGACAGTGGTGTYATGGACATGAATGAGTCCCACACGATGAGCTCGCCCTTGTCGAAGTCGATGCATATCATTACCCAGTGAACTCCACCGATATTGTACGGTAGATAAATGGCATCGACATTCATCCAGCGTTAGTCGTAGTCCGAGTGAGTACCATCGAGGTAATTGATCAGAGTTTTCGCTCTTCCTTCCCAATCATAGTCTGTTGCAACCCTCGAAACAATGGCGTTATGAGATTGCATGCAGGCATAGACACCATCCGTACGTCTGAGGAAGTTCTGTAACAAGAACGACAATTGAATAAAAGGCGAATATATAAATATATTCAGGTTACTGATTTTTAAAGCTTACCGCAAGTACTTGGTCCTCGGTGATGAACTTGCAACGACATAAGTCTGGTCGCAGTTCGAGCTTCTTACGCACGAACATGACCAACGAATCGACTAACTGTAAAGACCAACAACAACGTAATGAAGGTACGAACATTAATATATCCAAATTCAAGCATGGAAAGCAGTCGTACCTCGCACGAACACCATTTTTTTGGTGTTAGAATATCCCGAAACCATTACTTTCCTCGTTTTGCGTAGCATGTCTTCCGTGTTGATCGCGGGTTACTGGCATCATCCAACCACCTTTGAAATTTGGAGTCTTGTTCCTTCGGGATCTCGRCGATGGGATTGTAAACCATGACCTTTTTTCGTTTACCTCCAACCTTAACTTCGAAGGAGCCACGAAGCTTCCATGGTGTTTTCCTCTTCCGTTCCCCCCGACGAGGTGGAGGGGGATCAAATGGCTGGGATAGAACGTGCATGTCATCTGAATGACCGTATGCCACGTCGGATGAGGTCTCTAGGGTTGTGACTGGACGTCGAGAAGCTCATCCGATTCGGTGTCCGAAAAGTCATCAAAGATTTCGTCCTGTAAAATAATATAATCACTAAGTGAAACTGTAGTTACTAAGTGAAATACAAAGGAACACCATAATTCGTACTTACCTCGGGTGTCTGTGGGACTGGTACCTCCTGCGGATGTACAATARCTTGCTACGCCACACCAGCTACTACCTCAGGTGTCGGTGGGACTGTTTCCGAAACATTGGAATGTTTCGTTTCCACCGTTTCCCTTTCTTTTGAAGTCCCAACAACATCTCGAGACACTTCCGTAGCCTCCAGTGCATTCAACACGTCCGCAACCTCACCTCCTCGGTCGGTAGGCTCCACTTCCATTGCTTCGTTGTCTTGGTCAGCCCTACTTCGATCATCACGTTATTCGTCCTTGTCCTTCATCGGACTCTTGCTTCCATCAACCGGTCCTGCAGAATCTCCATCACCGATGTCATCTCCATGTCCAGCATTGTTCTTTCGAAGAACCGAAGTATCGACTGGTATTCCCTGTATGCAAGCATAATGTCAGAGCACATACCATATATATGGACTAGAAAGCATTAATGGAGTACGCACCTTGACTAGCGGACACAAGAACTTCCGAATGCTCTTCAAATAACCTTTCATGCAAACGACGCGATCGTCCATACAAGTGATTACATGTTCCACATTCGCAAGCCGCGTATCCATGGTGGCCACCTGCTCAGTCAAGATCCTCAAGCCAGACTTGCATTTGCAGCGATGCTTCTTGGCACTCTTCGTCTTCCTCTTACATCTCACATATGTATCCATGGTCGGGACATCAGGATCGACATGGGTGGCATCGTGCTGCGCGTCACGACCTTCCATTTCAGGTTGCACTTGCTCGCTTGCTTGTTCCTCGTCACCTAAGTCGTCACTGGATGGTGGCTCAAATTCCCTTTCCATGAACCTCTCCTCCGCTTTTGTTGCGAAAAGTCTGATAGCCACTTTAGCCTGTACACAAAACATACTTGTAAGAGCACGTTATATGAAAATAAATAGCATATACATGTACTAGTAAATGATCTTACAGATGTGGACTGAAATATCTCTTTCTCCATGAAAACCCACGCAGGTGAATGTCCACACTTCCACTTAAGCATGCGTGGGACAGCATCCGGTTTTATAGGATGTGCAACTCGACCGGTCAAACAGGATATTATTTCGTATCATCAAACCTGTATCGACACCACGTATGACAACATCACATAAAATGAACAAAATATAATATAAAGTAAAACTAAAACAATCACTGCAAATACTTGGAATGCCCAGGGGAAACCGTACAAACTATATGTCATTCGTTGATGTTTCTCCTCCTAAAATCCTAGCCACTTAGCTCCTATTTATAGTGAATTATTTCTAGTCTTTATTTACGAGTTGTTGAGAATTAATCAAAGATTCCAAAATTACTCCCAGTTATTTACTTTTGTAAGAGTTTTGAAACCATACATTCTTGTAGAATTGAAAGAGTTTTGCTCCCTTAGCTCGGAAGAGAATGATAAGGTTCATTGGAGTTACAATTTCCTGTTTTCCAGCCTTTAATATTACCTTAAATTCCAACATTGAGTTTTGTTTTTATTCAATTCAGTTTTAAGAATTTCACATTAGCAATTAATTTAAAACTTCGAGATCTTATTGATATAAGTAGGTTATTTAGAGGGGGTGCACCTCGTGCCTGGTACTGTATCTTGTGCACCTCGTACGTGCCTGGTACTGTATCTTGTGCCATTTTCAGTTGAGTTAAAGTGAAAGGGCTAGATATTCATTCTTAAAGTAATTACAAAACCTCAAACCAACATTTTCCGGCTCATTTCATTCATAAAATCTTGTACATCAGACATTTGACTAATTCATTTGGCTTTTAAAGAAAATCTAGGAACGATCTCGGAATATTTTCATTTTATTACTTATGACGAGTGTGCACTTCCAATCTAATAATGCTACTTTGTCTTATACACTAGAGAAAAGAATTATATGAACTATTTTATTTTCATTATTATGAGAGTATATATTATCAAACACATATATATTCAAAAAAATTTCAAATCTAAATTCAATTTTTTAATCTACTACCCAACACATACTTGAAAATAATAAATAAATAGAATACAATTTTGTTTTATTGAATTCTTTTAGGCTCATGGGACCCGAGACTTAATAATGAGGTCTTGATATAGAATATATTTTCTAAATTTTATTTTTATTTTTCTACTTCTTAGATGCAAAATTATGTCTTAAAATATGATAGTCTAAATTCATTAATATATTTTTTTTAATAGACAATATTTTCTAATCTATCTTTCTTGGGATATAGTCGACCTCAAATACAATTTGATTAATAATATTATATAAGCAATATATATATTTGGAAAAGTTTCTTTCATGTTTTGATTCATCTATACCGTACCAATCATTCATTGTTTTTATTACTTTTACTTTTACTTCCAATAATAAATTTATGGAAAGCACCTTTTTTTTCGATTCAATCAAAACTTTGAATTTTTTTTTCTTCTTAAGCTATTTTCATATTTAAATTGATGTTTTCTTGTAAACATATGAATATTCTATATAGATAAAGTAAGCAAACTTAAATAAATCTAAGAGACTAACGTTT